TAACGAACGAAACAGGAGATGTTGACAGAAATAACCGCCTTGATCCCAAACGATATTCGTCCTGGACCCGTCTTGTTCGTGTTACGGCCTGGACTAAACGGTTTATAAAGAACTGCAAATCTCCGTCTGAGTCGCGAAATATGTCGTTTGTTTTACAGAGCTATGAACTCAGTGACGCGCAAACGTTTTGGTTACGAAAAGCCCAACTCGAAAGCTTTCCCGACAAAGGAAAGGACAAAAGTCTACTGAGATTTTCCCCATTGGTGGGCAAAGACGGACTATTGAGAGTCGATGGTCGACTCCGACTTGCTGAAGACTTGCCCTATGATACGAAACATCCAATCATTCTTCCAAAAGACCATCCTGTAACAAGACTAATCGTTGTTCACGCTCATGAGAAACTTGGGCACGGCACCGGAACAGAACATCTGTTAACGGAACTTCGATCGAGATTTTGGATCGTGAAAGGACGATTGACAGTTAGAACTGTGATTCGAAGCTGCCCTGAGTGCCGACGGCGATTCCTCGCAAAACCAGCAGGACAAAAGATGGCTCCTTTCCCAACTTCGAGATTGACTTTACCTTTAAGAGCCTTCGAAAGGATCGGTACAGATTTCGCTGGACCATTCCTAACCAAACAAGGACGAGGAAAATCTCGAATGAAACGGTATCTTTGTCTCTTTACATGTCTAGCGACCCGTGCGGTCCACTTAGAGATGGCTTACTCATTGGACACGGACTCATTCATGAACGCGTTCGTACGAATGACTTCACGGAGGGGGACGCCTACATACGTTCTATCGGATAATGGAACAAATTTTGTCGGAGGAGAAAAGGAGATGTGTCAAAAGATACGCGAATTCGATCAGGAGAAAATAGTAAAGACGACAACTCAACATCGACAAATCGAGTGGAAATTCAACCCGCCTTCCGCCCCTCACTTTGGAGGAGTTTTCGAGAGCATGATTAAGAGTGCGAAGAAGGCCATCAGAGCAATCCTAGGAGAAGCCGAAATTACAGACGAAGAGTTACACACAGCAATTTGTGGCGCAGAAGGACTCCTAAACTCGAGACCGATCACCTATGTCAGCTCAAGTCCTGATGACTTGGTTCCACTTACTCCTAGTCATTTCCTTGTGGGACATTTAGGTGGACAGTTCGCCCCAGAAACCAGTCCAGAAGAAGTATTCAACCCAAAGAAGCGTTGGCGACGTATTCAACAATTGATCACGCAGTTCTGGAGAAGATGGCGTAAAGAGTTCTTACCTAGCCTCAACGTAAGAGGAAAGTGGTTTAATCCTAAGCGAGAGTTAACTGCAGGTGATGTTGTCCTATTAGTCAAGCCGAACGCAAAGCGTGGCGAGTGGCCGCTTGTTCGCGTCATAGAAACATATCGAGGCGGTGATGGACTCATAAGAGTGGTAAAGATTCGAGTTGGAGACAACGAGTATATCCGACCTGTACACAGATTGTGCCCGTTAGAGAGAGACAATGATTAAAAGAACAATGAAGAAGAAACTTCATAAACTTTATAACTTTAACTTTAGTTTTCGAATGTAGTCACATTCGGGAGGGGGATGTTTTGGAATGTTGACATTGTTTAAAATTTAATAAGTCCTACCCCTCCCCCCCAATTAGGATAGGTAAAAAGGACTGGACACGAACGGTCGCGCTGAGAAAAAGAGAGCATGGTCAGGGTTCTTTTGTAATGTTTGTGTTCTAAAAATACAGTGTTTAAAAAGGTTGTTTATTGACTTTAAAACCACGCAAAGAATCCAAAATAGTGAAAAGTAGATCCATTCTTTATTCGACAAGTTCTATACGAGAACATATATATATATATATATATATATATATATATATATATATATATATATATATATATATATATATATATATATATATATATATATATATATATTATACGACAATAACAAAATCGGATTAGTCATTTAGCGCGGCGGTCACGCAATATATTTCCAGTCAACAGCTAGGCGTTTGTCTGTCTAACAACACAAATAAATATGGATTAACGTATTTTAGAATATTCGTAGTGCAAAATAGTTGGTATATACACTACTAAGTACATTGACTTTCTCTCCGACGTATATTAAATGCGTGAAAGTCGACGCATATGATTCTTAATCGCATTCTATACAAGCTATCGAAGCATAGCGTTGCATGAGGGTGTTATATTACCTTGTCGACCATGTGGTATTTTCTTCTTGAAGCTAAATACATTCTAGTGAACCATATTTACTACGGAAAGAGAAAGTCCTGCATAAAACTCAATTTTTAATGCTCAATGCCTTGGTTATTGAATTTGAAAGATACAGACAATCCTGGACAAAACATCTGCGACACTTCCAATTACTTGACAAAATGTCGTAATATTATCGCAACTTTAGAAAACCTCCCCTTTCCCCCACCATTCAATGTTGATTGCATTCGCAGAATACGGATAAAACGTCCAACATTACTTTGGGTGGGCGGAGGGGGGCAAACGAGTAAATTATTCCGGTCTAACCGGTAAAAATGCCACAAAGCAATGTTTTATAATAGAGTGTCGCAGATGGTTTTGTCCAGGATTGTGGATCCTGGACTTTAAAATGCTGAAACTCTATCTAACTTTAAGACATTATTAAACATACGCAGTGTACATAGCATGTACTAGACTTCTCTTTATCCCCTGTCTTCAAATTTTTCTCCATTTCTTTACACTTTCACTTTACTTCCCGTTTCCCCTCAAATTTTACTTGTAGTATAGAGCCTAATGTACAAATATTCTTAATCTTGTAGATTGTATTTTATATATATATATATATATATATATATATATATATATATATATATATATATATATATATATATATATATATATATATATATATATATATATATATATATATATATATATATATATATATATATATATAGTTACTTTTGCATGCGGGTGAGGGCTCAGTCAACTGCTAATTTGGGTACTCCGAAGGTAAAGAACGCGTTTGCTTTATAATCACCTATAGTCAGTGTGACTTTCACATCTTTCTACAGCAGAACTTGTGAATATAATTATCGATGCATGGGTAGAAAGGAGCACTCAGTGGGTGGGAATTTTGGAGGCTCGTGAAAAGGGCGGTAGTCACTTTCACATGCATGGCTAAAAAATTTTCCACAAGATCGAGGTGGCGAGCTATCGGAAATCTCGAGAAGAGTAAATGCGGCATTTAATTTTAATTTAACTTTTCAGCCAATCCCGAAAATTACTATTCAAGTAAAGAAAAACCCGGACTTCGTGATTTCTCCAGGGCTTATAGACCTCCCCAATGCTGACGCGTTAGCAAGCACTAGCGCGACCTGCCAAAGCAAGAAAGTTGCACAGGCTTCCAAAAATATGTAACGAAAGGGACTCGCAGTATACGGCGTTGTACGCATTATACAACACAAAATTAACGTTAGTGTTAAGACGCTAATTATGCTAATAAGCGTTTCCGGACGAGACAAATGCAATGAAACTGAACTATAACATCGGTTGACACTTTGATTGTCACTATAGAAGTACGAAATAATGGGCAATTTACTGAGAATGTCTAATAATGTATTTACTATTAATGAAATGGAGTAAACCAAGTTTTGGATCGATTGACACTTTTTTAAATAAATAAATCTTATATATCATAGTGATATTTCTAGAGTTGAATGTCAATCGATACATTTTACACAATTTATATACTTATGATTAATTTAAGTAGAACCTGTACTATATCAACACGCGCTCCCTAACCACTTTTGTTTAGAATTTAATATACTGAAAATTATTATTTCGCGACAATTGAAAGTTATATCAATAAATATGCTATGTGTTTCAAAGTAACAACCGAGTGTCAGGCGAGCACGTGTTCAAACCGTTTTATATTACATACAGATTTTCATGTCAAATATGCACAATCTTTCAGTGGTCTTCGATAACTTACCCTTGCATTTTATTTAGCAATAACCTATGTCAATAATCAACCAGATAGATGTGTTTTACCCCTTGCATATAGACCAATTTTGATCTCTCGATCGGCATACTTTCCTCCCAGCATACTGACATTTGTTTATAAGTTCATTCATAATATACTGTTCAAGTCTGTTGGATTGTGTACATTGCAAAGATGTTGACCACAACAAGCACAGTAAGGCCATTTATGCCAATGCAATTCAGTAAATATGTTATACTAAATGCTATATATGATTTTCGCAAAACTGATATTCTAAAACACTCGGTAATTCAAAGAGGTTAAATATGCTTTTCATTGCCTTTCAGGCAATCAGTTTCAAAAGTCTTGGGACAGATGCCACAAAACCTTTGAATTTCAACAAACGTTAACTGTCAAGTCCGTTTCTGCTCGTGCGCGTGTTTTTTTTAACAATTTTTGTTTCAAACAATATAGATAATTAATTAAAATTCCGATCTGTGAAACCACAGATTGGAAATTTATTTCAATTAGCTATTGTTTAAAACAAAAAATGTAAACAAAACACGCGCATGAGCAGAACGGGCTTGACAGACTCTTTAAACCATAAACCTTAAACGCTAAGCGTGCAAAGCATAATGGGAGTATCATTTAATAATTGTAGAAATCCTATATGAGGCATTGGGGCCCACTTCCTAGAAATATGGTAAATAACTCATTACGAGAAAATTTCATTCGCATACAAATAGCTGCAATATTCAACCACTAAGCTTCAAACTTGTGCTGCCATTAAGCTTTCCGCGCTTAGAGTTTAATTAATTAGGTTTAAGAGGTTACTTTGCAATAGACAACCTTTTTTGAATTGGCTGTACACGTTGTAGGCATATTAGCACCAGTCATAGGGCCATCGTATGTTGAATTATAATATAAATAGTACATAATATATTGTAGTTTTTCAATTACCTTCACAGTGACTGACTGACTGACTGACAGTGCTGTCAGACTGCCCGTGCAAGCAGCCATGAGACATGAGAAACAACGCGAATTCTTCGGCCAGGAAGATATAAAATTAGACGTGCTATAGCTTCTTGTTATTTTCTTTCTCTAGACATCTTAATTTTTGAATATAAATTACTTATCTGGGAGTATTTACTACCCAATACTTTATTGCATACAATAGCTTTACAACGCCAATAGATTAATCATGGTTACAACTTGCGGAAAAGCTGCTCTACCAGCTTTGCTTACCGGGGTACATATCAGGGTCTTCTCATTTTTCGCGCGCCATCACGAAGACCCTGGGCACAGAGGCCCTGGGGACGAGGTTGAAACAAAGTATTTACACTAAAAGGCGGCAATTAAAAACAACTAAAAATTCTGGGGTAAATATGTACGAAAGCTTCTGATTGATCCCTACCTGAAAATACAACGAGAACTTCAACGTTTCGAGCGAAGGCCCTTCGACGACTTGTACTATTAGCGTTAGTATACATCATATACTTGCTCTTCACTCTCGTTATTCATGATAAATATAATTTTGAATTTATGAATGGTGAGTGTGAAACATGTCATAAGTACTTCACGTGCTTATAAGCACTTCAAAGAACACAGAGAGGAGAAAAGCCTTTTGAGTGTGATATTTGTGGTAGGAAATTTGCAGACGCAATTAACAGTAACAGAATACATGGAAAAAGGTTTTTGGATTGAAGTGGTTATATATGCTGTTTATCGTAGAATACATACTGGAGAAATACCTTATGAATGTGATGTTTGTGGGAAAAAGTTTTCACATTCGGGTAGCCCAACAGGACATCGAAGAATAGATGCAGGAGAGAAGCCTTATGATTGTGATGTTTGTAAAAGACATTATACGCGCAAACACGTCTTAATGAAACGTAAAACACTCAATATATGTTGGCGTAAAGACGTTATTGCATATCGTTATATATTACACGGAGCTCAAAATAAAACGACTTTTCTGAAATAATTCTGTATAAATCTGAAATGTTCATTAAATTAAGTGAAATAAACAAAATGTTCAACAGTTATGAAATAATTATGTTCAACAATTATAAAAATTGTTTAAAAACTGTTTAGAAAGAGTTCGTAGATGCAAATCCATTGTTGTTGTTTAACTATTTCAAGAGGCCTATCGTATCATGAATCGTGAACCAATCATTTTGCGTATTTACCAGCATGAGCTCCACCTTTAAATTTACTATACGAGTAAATTCTTAAACACATCCGAATTTATCATTATTATATATTTGCGGCACATTTTGAATGTATCATAATGATAAATTCGCGGCACCTAACCACTAACCCCAAACCCTAACCCCTAACCCTAATCTAACTTTTTAAATTTTTTTGAAAATCGAACTTTTTAATTTTTTTTTCTTTTTATAACTTTTTTAAAACTCTTTAAAAACTTTTTAAGCTTTTTTTATGAAAACCATGAAAATCTGAACATGTTCAAACTGTCTTTTTATTTTTACTATTTCCCCAAACGTCCAGGATGTACTTTTTGATTTCAGCATCTGTCATTCCCCTGACGGAATCTATGACCAGGAAATCCATCGGCAAGCTGTCTTCCATAGGATAATGCACGATTCCCTGTTCAACTTTTGTTTTCAACCAAACGGTTTCTTGCGAATTGCCCGGCAGCGAAATGGCCAAAAAATTTAACTTGCGGTCATTAGACAGGTTGGTCAGCAATTTATCGAGATTCGAACCCGGAGGCAAGGTTAACGTTCCCTGAGGTATCCAAACCGGAACGTCGCGATTGGGATATACAGCGACGATACGTACTTTTTTTAACTCAGACCTCATCTCTTCCTCATCTTCTGCATCAATGTGAGCCCACTGAATGAGCACGGACAAACGATCAGGTATTATTGCACTTTGAGGGTAAGTGTAAAATCCCCTTCCAAGCGCGTTCACCATTCCCGGGACTCTCTTAACTTGACTGGCTTGGTCGACATTTCCCCACCGATCTATTGTTGTGACATGGAGATAAACTTTCCCAGAGTTAATACTTTTAATTTCATTTTTCGGAGGAGGCCAGGTGGCGGCATTGGTTAGCATTCTTCTCGTCAGAGACACTGCATTGGTTTGATCTAAAGCTTGTAAATGACATTGATAACTCAATATAAATAAAGTACAGTTTCAGCCAACAGACACAGTGTATTTCTACAACTATAGGTATGTAGAGCTCGACAACTAAACTATGTTGCTCAGTTGGTTAGAGCACTGCATGCACCGGAGTCGCAGGAGTACAGGATGCCAAGTTCAATAGACCTTTGAATTGCTTACGTCACGCCAGTGTCGAACAATGAATTGCAATGCAATCTGGGAAACATGTGGGACAAAATATATACCTAGGTTTATATTAGATAGAAAACTGCATGACGTAAGCTCGTGTGAAGCCTATTCTTGCCAGGGACCTGTATAGTTGTATTTTTCCGCAGCTGTTCTTGGTCAGGTCTAATTAGTGTATACATAAGTTTACACTCGACAATTCCCACTAACAAAACTCTTCAACTATTAGTCAATTGACTGAGATGCCAACAAATTTTGTTATTTACCCACATATTCACATGGCAGTACCATAATATACATGTATGCATCAAATTGTAGTTAGAGTTAGAGCTAGAGCGCTGCACCTGTATCGCAGGACCGCAAGTTCCGAATCCTGCCGGGGACATATATAGTGTAGCTATTTTACTGCAGCTGTTCTTGCAAGGCCGTAGCGACCTGTGGGGTGTAGCATCCCCTTATAATTGCTCATGAACAAGCTTTGAATCAGAATTGCTTTGAATCAGAATTATAGTTAACGATCGACCAACTATATAGCAATAATTTTACTAGTTCTAGCAATTTTAGGAAATATATTTTACAATTACCTCTGTTGCTTTGCCTACAGTTTTATAGAGACAGTGACATCATGAAATGAGAGAACTAGATAATGTTTTGTAAACAACAGCTCATTCAGTGGGACAATTACGGCTTCAAAAAATAAATAATATATAGCGGCACGTGCAGAACGCAAATCGTAGGCATTACCTTTCTAACTGACTTACTCAGCAACGACAAGATCTAGGACTAGAATATTATGTAAACTCGTTTTATAGTTTTCAACTTGTTAAGAACGCATCAGAGAGATAACATACAGAAAGAACAGTGCTACCGGTATATTATAAATGGATAACAGACACAAATATTTCCACTAATTACCAATGGCAACTAATAACAATCGATAATGGTACTAGTTGGATATTCTCAGAACGATGAAGAATGAAGTTGTAGCTAGTAAAACCATTTTCTAACAAATCATTTTCTAACTATGATGTCACGCTCTAATATTCAAGTTCCCTACTTTGGAGAAGAGATATATCTTCAGGGAAGACTAGCGTATCGATTTTGTCCATGAGAAATGTTATATGGACGTTTCTCTGGAGACCCCCCCCCCCTCCCCGCTTAGAAACGTCACGCATATAGTTATCGATATTTTGTTCTTATGGTACACAAAATTTGCTACTATTTTCTACGATCGGCTACGATTCTTCCGCGAGGAATATGTCATCTGTTGACATATTATTGTGTAATATGAACAACGAGAGCGAGTGTTTCACCGGGATATCCAAACACGAGAAAACAATGTATGAAAACACGAGCGCGAAGCGCGAGTGTTTTCAACATTGTTTTCGAGTGTTTGGATATCCCAAGCATGAGACACGAGCTCGAGTTGTTTATATGGCTTCTCAAATGAATCGAGACCCGTAACAGAAGGTTTTCGTTTGCTAATTTAATTCTGAATAGAATTCTTAACCAAGCATAACGTAATTAGGAATTCTATTCAAGTAATTTTGCATGCGTAATTAAGATATTTGATGAAAACACTAGTGATCAAATAGGTGATTATCATTGGCTAAATTGCTCATGAATTGTTAATGAATTTGAGAATAATATATGAACTTCAAAATTATCATTAATATATGAAGTTCAAAATTCCCAACGTATCGCAAAACAATATTTTGCCTGACTTGACATATTGACAGGGATGCCGGAACCACGGGTGCAGCGAGTGCAAGTGTACCCCTTGCCTTTTGCATTTTCAACTTTGTGGGTGCAGTGCGGGTGCAGACTATGGGTGTAACGGGTGCACAAAATTTTTACAACAGACATAATTAAACGTTGCTCGAGGAAGTGTGTGGGGATGTTCCACCCCCCCAGTCGTCAGGAATTCGGCAAAGTTGTTTTCCATTTGGCGAAAGGTGAAACGAAAAGCATTACTTATGGAATTTTTGGCGAGAAATTACGGATGAATTGTGGCTAAATAATTGTATTCGGTCCGAAAAAAGTTGGTGGCGGGGAGAGAGGTCGACACGAATGTTGGATCATGACGGCCTTTCATTTTCATTGGTGCACTTTCGTTAAGGAGTATGCCTTCTTGTTAACCAATTGCAGCCCTTGCCCTCAGCAACTTCCGGCATATCCCTGCATATTGACAATTTTAGTGGGTTTTTCTTGAAATTTGAGTGTTTTCAATGCAAGGAAGGCGTAATAATATAATTGTATAGAACAGGTATGGCATTACGAATGTACAGACTGGTGTTGGTATCAAGTTGTTTTCTTTTTTATATTCTGCAAAGATGATTCTGAAATGTTAAGGCTTTCGAAAAAACTATCGAATTTTTCCATGATGTTTTACAGAGAAACTACGTCACAGCTGCAAACCTCCCACTCCCAAACGAGCATATGACGTTTCTTGTGGACACAATCGATAAGGGAGGCTTCCTTTATAAAAAGGTAGCTCGCCTCCATATTAACATGACTAAGATTTGCGTTCTGCAAGTGACGCCATATATTATTACCTCGGGTCGGTACGACACCGAGGTCATAAATTCGGCTCCTATTTTTTTTTCCATTTTGTGTCGAGCCGCGCGCGTAGTCGAAGAGCCTGCGGAGGAGACGACAACTTCCGGTAAATAAGTGTACTTCCGGGAAATTTCA